TGGATCTGGTGTTGGATGATAGGGTTTGGAGTCAGAGCAGTGACAGGTCAATGGTTGGACTCAATGTCCTTAGAGGTCTCCTCCAGCCTTGATGGCTCTATTGATTAAGCAGCCTAACAGGAGATGAGGTGATCCCAGAGCTGGAGCTGTCAGTGCTGTCAGACTAACTGAAGTTTGCAAGATAGCGCTAAGGGCAGGAGACATCCAAAAAAGAGTTGTAGGGAAGAGCAGTTGTGACTGTGCTGCAGCTTATCTGCTGACCAGCTGTGTGCACCATAAGGTGTGCCTTGTCAGCAGGGTTGGCTTTTTCCCTGAAATTGAACCTGGCTCTGTGAGTCACAGATTCCCAAATGCTAGCTGGCCTGCTGGCACAAGATCAATATGCAAACCACAGGTGTTTCAGTATGATTGATGTTCCTGTGCTTTTGAGTAGAAACGTTTCCTGCAAGGTTCTGTTCTGTTCCAGTTTGTACAACTGCACATTCCCTCCAAGTCTAGTGGGATATATCCAACCCCAAACTGGCATGTGATTTTAGTGCCTTACAACAAGCTCCATTCCCTCCTCATAGTTCCAGGTATTTGCTCTCAAACTTGTGTCAGAACTGTTGCAAGTGGTGATGTGATACTTACAGGAGTCAGTGGGAATAATCAGTCTCTGGTGCTCTAGGGAGACAGTGGCTGAAGCTCTTCTCAGCGATGGCTTTCTCATCCCGAAGATGGACTGCCTGAAGATGCTAAATATCAAGTATGAAGGTTAGTGTTTTGGGCACCATCTAAGTCCAGTGTTGTGACCAAGTCTGTTCTTTTTTTCTCATTACATTGAAATCTGTATTTCTCTGCATGTATTTTACATATCTATGTCCTTAAACATCCTGTGTCCTGCTCTCCAGCTCGCTGTGTGGCCATGCTTGGCCTTTGCTTTTGCAGAAATCTCTTAAGTGTATCAGGATGGCTCTGCAGCACCAGGTGCTCGTCAGACTCACATCTCTGCCTGTTTCTGCAGTAGCTGCTGGTTTCATGAACCCCCAATAATTTCTTTTCTACACTGGAGATCTGAAGCAAACCAGGTGGGGATTTTGAGCCTCATTCACCAGCTGCATCTTGGTGCCATGCTGCTGCCCATATGTGTGGAGTTGCATGGATTTTCTGCAAGAGAATTGGGTACCTAGAGGGAATGGAAAGTAATAAATTCCCTATTTCCCAGCCAAGAACTTGCCAAGAAAGATCCTCAAACTTCTGTGACTATATTACAGTAGTAAAAACTGAGGACCTTTTCTATTCTGTGTTGCTTTGGCCAATGTACCTTCTCTTTGCAGTACATTTTTAGACAGAATGGCTCTTTAATTCTGTGTGAAACAAACTGAACCTCAAAAAGGATTAGCAAAACAGGTAGATTTTCCTGTGTTAATAATTTTCTTGTGTTAATTATCAATTTTCTGCTTATTTTACTTCTCTAGCATAAGAAAACAAAAGCTTCAGGTTCAGTGAGGATCGCAGCAAATAGCCTGGAAGCAATGGTCTTGGAACAAACCAGTTTGGAGCAAGTGTCACACCTGCATTCCACAAAAACTGCAGCACACTCATATGTGGCCTCTCTGTTTCTTTTCTAATTGCAGCAAATAAAGAGGTTTGGCAGTTCAGAGTTCCTCAGACCTTTTACTGCTTCTGGCAGCCTTTGCTGTCAGGCCTCCTCTCTCGGAGTTTTACACAGACCCTAATAGAGAAGATGTTCATGGAGCTGAAGGAATGTTCTGATTCCTCAGAGCTCCGACCTCAGTTCCTGATCAACTGGATTTCTGAGCTGCTGACTGGCATTGCCAAAGTCAACACTGGTGAGTGTGCCTGAAACTTGTGTGTTTCGAAGCATGTGAGTGGTGGGACCTTGAGAACATTTTTGTCATGTGAACCTGGCACATTACTGTTGAGTTTCATACCCTTTCCAACCTGCAGCTGATGCATGTCATGCATTTCTTGGCAAACGGTTGAAATTGTTGTCGATAGCTTTGGCAAACTGTATGTTTCATCCCAGAGATGGGCACTGAAGAGCCTCAGTTATTCAGTGTCACAAGAATCCTGTCAACAGGACTTTGATACGGTGACAGAGTATCCCTGGAGGTTTCCAGCTGGTAAATTTTGCTGCCTCTTCTGTCTTCTGCTGGTCTGGTTCAGGCTCACCAAGATTTTGCCAGTGTCTCCGGCAGTCATGGGGTAATACTTGGTGCTTTCACTCAGCGCTGAGCATATCTGTTGCATACCAAGATCCCTGGACAGTGGTAGTTCCCAGCTGTTCAGTCTACTCATTGCAGAGCTATCTGGAGTGATCCCGGGTCCCAGATACAGTATACTGCATTTATTTGGGATAATATTGTTCAAACACATCTGGTGGCTTTCCAACCTGGGATGGCATGGACAGGGCCAGCTCAGGACTGTCTGCGCCTTGTTCTGGCTCGGTCTTGTGGAGCTAACCTCGCTGCCCATGCACTGGCAAGTCCCTGAGAGCAGCCTTGGTGTATTCAGTCAGTACATTGGGCATGGACCTGGATTGAAATGCCAACTCCCTTGAGGATGTGTTCCAGGGAAAATGCAGAGGCATGAAGAGCATATTTTTAATGAGTTTTGAGCACCTTGTTGTTTTTGTTGTCTTCTTTGAAGGGAAGAAGAGACAGCACTGTAACAAACAGATGCCTGTGAAGGAGCTGTTCCTCCATAAAGTTCCTTTGCAGTGGATAAGACTGACTGACAGTTGCTTGGAAGCTCCCTGCTGGGCAACCCCACATCTTCTTCAGCTGTGAGTTTGGTCCTGTGGCCTAGAAAAGGGACAGCAAACAGTGCTCTGTTTCTGCTTTGGTTCCCTAGTGATACTGAGTCATAGTTGTGTTCCCTTCCCTTCCTCTGCATCCTGTAGAGGTTGTGGCAGGTGCATATAAAGCCCTTCTAGTTGCCACTCATCTCCCCTCTGGTTCCACAAAGAGAAGAGGGAAGAGAATTTAAAAGGATTGCATCTTCAAAATGAAAACAGCGGTTATCTGGGCAGGTATTAAAGCAGCAACCTGGTCAGAAGAAAAGTGACTTGGTAGCAGAGGTATGACTGCTGATACATAGAATCATAGAATCAACCTGGTTGGAAAAGACCTCCAAGATCATCAAGTCCAACCCTACCATGGCACTAAGTGCCACATCCAGTCTCACCTTGAAAACCTCCAGGGATGGTGAATCCACCACCTCCCTGGGCAGCACATTCCAGTGCCTGATCACTCTCTCTGTAAAAAATACAGGTGATAGGAATTTAGCACAGGTGGTAACTTTTACACATGGAAACAGCAGAGCAGGAGTTCAATTAGAAGTACCCAAAGTCCTTAATTTTAATTACAAAGAGAGTATTCCAGCATCCACCCACAGGGAATGACCAGATTTTGTCTGTTACAGGAGCTGTATGAGTGAGCTGTCCTGGAGAAAACTCACTTAAAAGCAAAAATGACTCCAGATGAAAGTTTATCACTCTTTGAGTTGTCCATTGCCCTTTTTTCCTTTCTAGGATCCTCACCATCATGAGACCTCGCTTGCCACGTGCTTCTCAGAAGAACCTTCTCTATCTTGCTTCCGTTTACACAGAGGGAGGTCCCCCTTTGTCCAGCCCAGGGCTCTCTTCAGATGGCAGTGAACAGCCAATTTACACTATAGAGAGCTTACAGTGGAGAGCCAGGCAAGAAAATCAGGTCAAAAATCAAGGGCAGACTGTAGAGAAACAAGAAGATGTGCTGGAGAGAGATGATGGTGTAGAGGAGGAGGAGGAGGAGGAAGAGATGGTAACTGAAGCAAATCCTTTGGAAGGACTTGCTTATCCTGGGAACATGGTGGCTCTTGCTGAGAAAAGGGCAGCACTGCAAGGGTCTCCCTGGCACATCACTGCAGGTAAAAACTGAGAGTCTTCATCACTGGCCAGTGCTAATTGAAATGCAAAGACGTCTCAGCCCTTTGGGCCTGGCCGTGGCTGAAGGGTGTAAATACCAAACTACTGAGAAGTGTCTTTTCCAGTCCTTTGTTTATGTGCAGGAGTCACCTCTGTCAGACTCCTCGGGTACTGTGGGTGTGTTTCCCAGGAGCATGCTTTCCTGTCTCGTTCATTTCTTACTAGCTCGTCCAAACTGTTTGGAAGGTACCCAACTGATGGGGCAGCACGCGTGCTAGCTGCGAATGGTGAGGAAAACAGGGATGTGTCTTGGACTGCAGTTTGTCAGGCTTGAGGGTATTTGAAAGCACAGCTGGGCTATGAACCTAAGGTCCATGCTCCAGGAGAGTGGCTGTTCTGGCATGGTGGCAAACAAAAGCCAGGAGCAAGGCAAGGTTTTAGATGGGATGAACAGTATATCCAGTGTTTGTTATGGGAGCAGTGCTTTCTTGTTGGGGTTGGAGGGCTCTGGAGCTGAGTGGTTTGTGTAGGGACTTGAACACAGGAGGAAGAAGTTCTTAGAAGTTGGGAGTAAGAATGGTATTTAAAGAAAGAAAAGCAACCATTAGAAGAGAATGAACTCTTGTACCCCATTCACTGAGGAGTTTTCCCAGTGAAAAAGAGATGGATAGCCTGTGAGAGTTGGATATCTTGAGAACAACAAAACTGTCCTCTGCTTCTGTGACTTTTGAGTCAGATCATGCACAGCTCCCACTGAAGGAACACACGCTGTGTCCTGAACTACCTGACTTTTGTGAGGATTTGTTTATGTAGTTGTTTGTGGGTAAACTTAATTTCTGTTTGAATAACATCTGCATAGTTCCCATCCTTAAACAGTTTGGAAGTACAGCCAGTTTGCTATACACCAACCTGTGACATCCTGTGAGGTATCAGCTGTTGACTAAGTTGTTCCCCAGAGAAAGGGTTTATCCTGGTCAGTGTATGTAGTGGCAATTTGCCTTAGAGCTGCACTGGATTCTACCACAGGCTATTTCTGCCCCTTTTGAAACTAAGATTATAACACATAGAAAGCTCTGCTCTGTCAAGATTGTTCTATTAACTGCCCAAGAATGGTGTAAAATGAAAACCAAATTAATCTGCTGGTTCTTTAGGGCAATGCTTTGGGTTTTTGAGCAGGTCCCAGGCACACAAAGCAGTTTCAGGCAAAAGAGAAGGAAATAGCCAAGTTGTAGGTGGTCAGCAGGTGTCAAATGGTCTGTGAGATTATTACTGGCTCTCTGGAGTGGTGTCCCTTCTGAAAGCTTCTGCCTGCTGGTCTGAGCTGAGCTGCTAGGGAGAGTTGCAGAAATCCGTGTTCTAGTAGAATCAAGGCACAGAGGCTTAGGAAATCTCACTGTCAAAACAATGACACAGAATTCATGTCTTTAATTTCTGAGATGTGAAATAAGATCGAAATTTAAAAAGGGATTTCCCTGATGGGAACTGTCTGAAACATTGCCCCCACACTGCACAGGAATGGGTTCACTGATGGTACAGCTGCAATGGATCATTTTCCATCGTGCAATTTTTAGCCCCCACTGGAAGTCAAATTTAACAAATGTGAACTCATGGGGAAGAAACACTGCATAAAGTGCCTGGTGCCACAGGCTCCAGTGGTGTCTCTGCAGCATGCTACAACAGCTTTCCTTGGAAGAGATAGTAAGGTTAGAAATAAAACCAGAACTAGAGTTCAGACTTACTTTTGCTGAGTACCTGAGGCTGTTTGTGTTTGCTGACTGGCTCAGCTGCATGAGGCAATATTTGTGGACTTGGGGGGAGAATCGTGTCTGAAAATCTCTCTGGGAAGCTCAGACTTGTTGTTTTTGTACTGTTCTGACCTAGATGAAGTACGATGGAAAGACTTTGCTCTTGGGAAACTCCCAGGTCAGACAGATGACCCCGATGGTCTCATGTTGGATAGTTACTCCATGATGTCCCTGCTGGATCAGCCAGTGAGAGACGAGTGGAAGTCGTTCAACACAAAGTGAGTAATGATGTGGGCAGGACTTCCCCTGAACTGTGACGTGTTCATCTCTCTGTGCCTTGTACTCGTTGATGTGAAAAAATAAGGCTGAGGTTTCCTTTTCACTTGTTAACCAAGTAGTTTGACCCAAATGTCTACTACACTCTCTAGTACCTACTAGCTGTGCTTCTCCTTTTCAAGTGATGTGTGTGTTGGGAAGGACCTGTGCAGTGCAGGTGTAATAGCATGACAGTTTGCTCTTCAGACTGTGCTGGCAGCTTTCAGCCTTGCGTGGTGCTGTTACTAAGACGCTCTGCTGCTCCCTTAAAGCTACTAGTCTGGAAGTGCAGAACTTTTGAAATCTGGTGCAGAATCTGAGTGGGGATACATGGGGGTGAGTAATTTTAATGGGAAGGACATTGCAGTTAGAGCGTTCAGGACTAGAAGCCTTGGAAGTCATTTAGCCTTCCCCAAGGTCAGTTTTCCTAGACTAGCTAATCTTGTGCAGGAAGGAGTCGTGCCAAAATGCATAGTGGTTTGCTAAGCACTGAAAGGTGCATCAGTGAGGTGTTTTGATCTTAAAGGAGAAATGTGCTCCTGAGCAGCTCTGAAAAGCAGCCTCTGCTTTACAGCTAGTTATTCCAGCTCTGAACATCTGGAAAAGGCTTAAGAGTTTGTTGGTGTATAGCTTGAAGCTGCTGCATAAGTAAAACTTTCCAAACATCTCATCCTGTTTGCAGGAATTTTTTTCTGTCCTCAGAGCAATTTGGGTTTGTTGTAACATGAGACTTAAGTTCCCAAGGTGCCTGGATACTTTAGAAGAGCTTGCAGTTGCTCCTTCCCTGGCCACAAAAGATTGTTTTCTTTGATGGGTTTTCTGGTGTATGTGTGTTGTCAAAGTTCATGTTTCATGTCACTGAGGCAACCTGTGAAGCTTTGAGGAGCTGTTCTGAGTAATTGGTAAGCCTTTCCTTTGCTCTGTGCCTCAGCACCTTTGGAATTTCAAGACTGTTGCCTCTTGAACAGACTGACTGAGAACTAAGGACATTCCAGCAGCTAAATGTTCAGAGCTGAAAATGAGAAATAAAATTGGAAATAAAACAAGTTTAGAGAGCTGTCAGAATTACTTTGGTGATGTGAACTTCTAACTCAGCTCAGTGCTTACGTGCTTGCTTTCTTTCCTCTCACACAGCTCAGCAGAACTGAATGTTCCTGTGACAGGAGGATTGTTGTGGACCCAGAATGACTTCCACAAAATAAAAAGTGGCCTTCAGCTTTTCTGAGCCAGCAGCAGAGTGCTCTGTGGCCTTCGGTATTGGAAGGAGGACTAGTAATGGTGGTGGGAAAACAGCCACTCCAGGATAGTATTTGTTGTTGTCATTTACTGATTTTTCCATGTAAAATCAGAATTTTATACAGCCAGTGTGTGTTAAGTTCCATGTACAGCAACCATTGTCTTGCTTAACCACTATCATGAGCCTTTAGCTCTAGTTGATATTTGCCAAATACAGTTAAGAGTATTCTGAAATCCCTCAAGGTTCCTTAACTTTTTTCATGGTTAATAAACAGGACTGGCTGAAGACAAACCTTCCTGCTGGTTCCTGTTTCTTTGCTTTCACTCAGGCATCCTGGAAAATGTCCTCTGGTGCTCCTTAGCCAGACCACTGAGCCCTTCCTCTTTCATCCCTACCAGTGATGCTGGTATTGTCCTGCAAGAGTGTGATTTTGCCAGGAATGATTGTGCTACAGTTTTCATCTCCCTCGGATTTCACAGGAGGCTGCGGAGCTCACTCCTAGCTGCAGCGTGGCTGAGTGCACTGCAGTGCACAGACGTCTTGCAGATGTTTTTGTCATGGTGTTTTTCAGGTGATAGTTGTGAGGCCACTACTGTCTCTGCTTGAGTGTAGCTTTGTGCTTGATGTTTTTTCCGTTCGCAATTTTGCTGAGGGTCATAGCCAATGCTGTGGTCTGTGCTGAGAGCTGGTACCGTGACTGTAAGAAGCAGACTCGAGTGAATGCCTTGCTAGAAAGTTGCTGAGCAAGTTGCTTCCAGCTGGTTTTCCCTCAATCGGTTTTCCTTACCTGTACTGCAGGTTCTTGGAACTTTGGAGGTTTCTGCAATTACTTGTCAAAACCCCATGAGTTTAAGCATAGATTTGACTCCTCAGTGCAAATCTGTTGGTGCCTCTGCTCAAAGGTAAGGCAGAGGCTCTCTCCGAGTCAGCCTCGTGGTTTGCAGGACTTACTGAACAGCAAGAGGCAGATGTCAGTAGAAAGAGCTACACGAAGGGGCACAGGCCTGAAATGCACACTTAGAGCAGTAGCTGTGTGGGTGTTGTGGGCAGAGTGGCATGTCAGGCTCAGCTTGGTGTCTGTAATTCAGTGACTCAGAACTGAACATCCTACAGGAGCTTCTAGAGGCTCTTGGCTATATAGGGGGTTAAAAAATAAAAAGCTAGAAACAAACAATCCAATGGCTCTCAGGTTTATTAAATAAGCAATTTTTAAATATATATATAAAGTAGAACATGTTTCAGTTATTAAATAATTGTGCAAAATGTCACACGGAACAGGGAGGGTCGGGGACAGCCTGGAGCTCTGCTAGAGCCTCACCATCCTCTCAGTATATTTACAAACTTCACATACCACAGACCCAGATCATAAATACTAACACTCTGCAGAGGCTAAGCTGCCACTGGCATGAGAACCATTTAAGGGATGGTACATCGAGATTTTCCCAGTTGAAACAGTACAGGAAGTACAGTCAGTGAGGGCTCTGTCACAGCAACAAGCTCTGGGGACACGAGAGGAGGTTCACAGCTGAACACACCACAGAAGTAGCAGTGACGGATCTAAGGCTCTGACTGTCATGAGTTCTGCAGTACTAATGCTTCAGGTGAACTTGTGGCAATCAAGATCAAGTATATTCCAGCTCTGGAGCAAAGCTGCACAGAAAGGATGCAAGTTCCTTCTCCTGAGCATGGAGCTTGAACTGTTCCGTTCGTGGTGTGATGCACATCCCAAGGATGCACACGGCACCAGGTGTTTGCAACTGAATTACCTGGACAGATTCTTTGCCTGTTTCGACTTTAGCATTAAGGATTTCAAAACACCAAAATCCCTAATTTGAGGCAAGATGGGATTAAAAGGGATGTGGGGGAACTCACCTAGCTAGGTATTTTGGGTGACTTGGTCTTTAATGAGGCTTCTCCTGCTCGTCCTCAGCAGCCACACATCACACCTGTTCTAAGCTTACAGTTGGAGCACTTTTACAAGTCCGCAGACTCATGCTAGGAAATAACTCGCAGCAGCAGCAACAAAAGCAGTGCACACTTATTACTACAGATTTAAGAATACCACATACTGGTTTAACACCTGTTTTCACTCATTTTGTCATTAAGACTTACATTATATTTGGGTCAACCAAAACAACCCAAAGAGATTTATAAAACTTTACAGTTAAACAGTGATGTTTAGTTCTACAAAGGAGTAAAGCTAAGTATTGCAGCTCAGTGTGACAACAGGACCAACAGCAGTGAAATCATCTACATGTACCATTTACTGAATTACTGACACATAGGTCTAACGAAGGACAGTAAGTAACAGACTGACCTCCCACAAAGCATTAGATTTTTGATTCATGAATTCAAAGTCGCACACTTTTAAGTGACAAATCATGTGACGGTAATGTAGCTAAAGATGAAAGAGAAGTAAATCAGAACTCCCAGAGAATGCTCTGGCCCCAGTAAAGGACTAAAATCTACTCTCAGCTCTGAGTGGCTGCAGTAGTCCATGATTTTCCCTTCACACCTTTTTTCCCCTCATCTACAATTGTATTTTCATGGATTTTATTAAAATATAGTTTCTAGAACTGTTCTGTTACAGCTTTAAAAAACATGTTAATACCATGCTCTCAAAAAGAGCATTTATGCAAAGTCATATTTACAATATGGACAGTTGTGATCAGGTGTCAATAAGATAAACTCTTGTAAGAAGTAATCTAAACTGATGTGCTAAAGATTAATGGATGTGTCAATTTTGAATGGTCTTGTAAACATACCTGAAAACACATGTGGCTGACTGATTACCACTCAGAGAGGTTGATCAGGAGAGACTACATCACACAGAAAGTTTCACCACCTCTGAGGAGGAGCGAACGGGCACAGAATTTGCAGATTGTCTCCATTCTGTGACTCTGAGAGGTGCTAAGAGCTCCTGGGAAAGAGACAATCTGCCCCTGAAGTGCCCTAGGGA